TGCAGATGGAGCACTTGCTCGTGCCCAGGGAACTGATCGCGGCCGGTTGGGCTAGCGCCCCCAGCGCCCTCATAAGGGCCTCCAGGGGGAACTTGCTTCTCAGCGTGCCGGCCCAGGTTCTTGGGCACCCGCGTTCGGCTGCAACCCTGTGGTGGTGTGCGTACGTGGCGAGCATGCTGATGCGTTTGATGGCATCCTCGAATTTCCTGTGCAGGGCGGTTAGTGCACTGAGGGGGGGGCCCCATGCGCCTGCGAAGGTGGTTCTGTATTCGAGGTGGACGTTCTGCCAAGGGAAACAGATGCCCATGGCTGCCTCTATGATGTCCCCAGTGGCCTCCGGATGTGGGAAGGGCCAGAGTGTCGCACGAGGTTCGCGCAGTTGGATCATCATGACGACGAGGAGGACTCTGAGTGCGGGGGCGTCCAGGGGGCTGCCGTCGCTGCTGAGAAGGGGGCGTCTTAGCTCTGAGTTGGCTTGGCCAGCGCGGGGAAGGAACTTTAGGTGCTGCGTTCCTGGGTGTGCGCGGTGCCTCCTGCACCTCCCCGTCTCCGCGCCCCACGCCCCTGGGAACTGGTGTAAGATCTCGGGGGGGGGGGGGGGGGGGGGGCGCAGCGGCTGGCGCCCCTTGGGCGGTGGCTGAGACCCTTCACCCCGGGCAGGCCCGGGCAGGGGTGGGAGCGACTCGTTGGGGACGGCTGAGCTCTTGTCGTTCCAGGGGGGGCCCGGCCCATGGAACCGCGCCAGGGCTGCCCGCGTCAAGTCGCAGACGAGGTTGCTGGCATCTATGCCCAGTTCTACGTCGCAGCAGAACCCTAGGCGACTCCACGCCTTACGGTCAAATAGGCCCGGCTGTCTTGGTGCGTCGGCCATGGGGAACTGGTGGTGGGGGGGGGGGGGGCAGGCCAGAGACGGTGTGCAGGACCACCCCCATGGCGGGGTCCTCGACGAGTTCCCGCAGGCTGCTGCGAATGGCGTCACCCAGGGCAGGTCCATGAAAATTCTGGGCCCAGCGGAGCTGCGATCTTGTTGGCGAAGTTCTTCTCCATTGAGGCTCTGGCTTTCACTATCGCGTGGTCGAGCCCCTCGATGACTTCGCCACCTGCGTCTGTGGGGGATTCTGGAATCCAGGAGGAGGTCCGTGATGGGGCCGAACGACGCGTCTGCAGTGAGGGTTCACCGGCTGCCGATCTGCTCCGGGTGCTGGAAACGCACCCACAGCCTGGCGACGCAACCGTACTCGGAGAGCTCACGGAGGCGGGATCCTGTGGCCGTGGCAAACATCCTTCCGTCGCCGATGATGATCACATTGCGTGTAGCTCTGGTGATTGCCACGTTCACCCTGTTGCCGTTGTCCATGAATTCCCAGTCATGCCATCTGTTGGACCTGGTTGTCAGGAAGATGACCAGACCCGCTTCGCCGCTTTGTCTGGGGTCAATAGTCGAGAGGGTGAGCCTGCCGCTTGCTAGGCGTTCCCCCGCGACGCGCCGTACGCCTGGGAACCGCATGGAGATGCCCGTGAGTTCTGAGTCCTCTTGCTCGAAGACGCTGGCGTAGTCGCCTGGGTCGGGCGGGCGTGATGGGGGGTTTGCGGCGTGGCCCTTCCCTTTGCTTATCTCCTCCGTCCCTTTCCCTTTGCCTTTGGCCTTGACCTGTGCGAGTGTGCCGCTGACGCCGCGGGAACTCTGGGGCCATCCGTTCTCGAGGATGGCGCGCTGCAACTGATAGCCGATGACCGCGCGCACCGTGACTCCATCCTCCATTGCGGGGAGAAGGGCGCGTATGATGTCCACCGTCTGCGCTGCTTCCAGTAGGTTGGCGCACCCTGCGTGTAGCTTGGATGCGACCTCCAGGGAAGGGTTGTCAACCAGTAGAAACCGGCGCCGCTCTTCTGAGGGCTGCTCGCGTGGGTGCAGCTCGCGTGGGTGCAGGTTACTCAGCATATTGTGCATGTCGTCGCTGCTGGCGCGGGCGGCGCGCGCTAGCGCCTTGAGCCTGTCGTTGCTCCAGGGTCGGAACTCCTGCCATGGTAGACCCTTGACTAGGGGCCTCTGGGTCAGGGGGTGGACTAGTCCCGTTTGCATCGCGCTGTTGTAGAAAACCCAGTTGGGGCAGGCCAGCAGCAGGGAGTGCATGCGGTAACACAGACTGAGCTGTATCACGGCTGACTCGTGTTCCCCTAACGCGTGGTGTAGACGGTCAAAGATGGAGAGGCACAACCCCTGGTCTGCTGCCTTTCTGGAGATGACAATGGGGGGTGAGCTGCTTGGGGCCACCGACCAGCACCAGGTGTCCTCCTGAGCGGATAACGCTGTCCAAGGACATGGCCGCCATGAGCTCGTGCGCCTGTCCTGCCTCGTCTATGATTAGAAGAGCAACTGGGGCGGCCTTCTTTAGTGCCTCGGCAGACTCGTGTGTGGCGATGACGGTCTTCGCATCTTTGAGCAGCTGAGCCCTGAAGGCGGGGAAGTCCTTGGAGGGTGATCCGCCTTCGTAGGGGCGCCTGCCGTTGGCCCTCTGGTAGTGTCCTCCTGGGGTGAGCCCCGCCAGCTCCTTTGCCATTTTAAAGTCCTTGACTAGGCGCACGCACTTGGATCTGGTGGGGATACGCGAAGCGACTAGAATTTCGACCGTTCGTCGAATGCGACAGAATGGGGGCATCAGATGTACCACATGATGACATACGACGGGAGCAGCAGGGCCAGTGTAGAAGTCAGTTGTGGAACTTGCCAAGCATTGTTATATCATGTATGCAACTGGACTTGCTGCATGTTACAAACTTGGGGATACCCCAAGCCCTGGCGGGACATTGCCTTTACGAGTTCTTCCTTCCTCTCGGAGGCGTGATCAGCGCGCCCACGAGCACGCTGGGTTACCTGTTAACCATGATTGGTCTTGTGTCTAAACACCGTGGCTTCGACGGCCCGCTCAACGACTTGACGCTCGTCATGTTCAAGCAACGAAATGTGACACCCAAGTTGCGCGCGAAGGCCGCGGATAAGGGTAACTGTCATGGATAGAATGTTTACGAATGTGCTCAAGCCAGAACGTCCACGAGAAGAGTTGCGACAGCGTTGTGTTCACCAACTGGCGCTCTTCTACGAAGAGCTTGGGCGATGGCACATCGACAAGCCACATTGAGCAACTACCTTCGGAAGACAGTACGTCCTGTTGCACGGGGTACTTCTAAGTGAGGCCCTTGCGAGTGGCGATTGGCAGAGCAAGAGCTGGCAACCCTGGAGGTTTTACCCGAAATACCATGTCGTCGTGCACTTGATGAAGGACAACATTCCGGCGGCATGGAATCCGAAGTCCTTCTGGTGTTACCAAGACGAAAACGCGATTGGGGAGATCGTCAATATCGGGCGCGCTTGCCACTGTCGGAACTGCCATCGCAGTGTCATCAACAAGCACCGCTTGTGAGCAAAAGACAACAGAAAGTTTGTGAGTCAAGTAAAGAGAAACTGGGTCGGAGCTGGAGGTCGGATCTCCTCGAGACCGACCTCGCCTGAAATTTCTTGCAGCACCAGTATCATCATACTCTTGATCATAATCATCATCAGCATCAGCATCATCTCATGATGGCCATCATCATCATCGGTGTATTGTAAGCCAAAGAGTGGCACGACAACTGAGAACAAAAACAACAAACAAGAGGGGATACAACACATGAACTATTGCAAGCTCAGCTACACATTCGATAATACAAACAACCTGACACCTGACACTACACATGCAAGTGTAAAGGTCTGCCTAAACACAATGCGCTAATTCCAGCCTGGGGCATAAGATGGGGTTCTCCAGGACAGGAATATGAATTCCGCGGATTCCCAAAATCATGATGGAGATCGGAGCTACTCACATGATCGTGTTCATGTCTTGGGTGTCGGAAGTCCAGGTCTCTCGGGAGGCATCCAACCGAGGGGTCGGCCCTGCCCCGCCGAAAATGTCCAAAGCCACATCTGGCCGTGGCGACGAGGTCTCGCCGCAAATGTCCAAAGCCGCAGACGACGACGACGACGACCAGGTGCTCCCGTCGGGGTTCTCTGGTGAGGCCAGGGGCCCGACCTAACGGCCAGGGCCTCCGAGGGCGAGCGAGGCCCGACTCCCCAGAGGCAACCAACCGAGGGGTGGGCCCTGCCCCGCCGAAGGTGTCCAAATCAAGTGACGACCACGACAAGGAGCACCTGCGGAGGCCTGGCCTGAATGCGGCGGAGACGAGGCTTCCCCGAAAGATGTCGAAAACCACCGGCAACGCGTCGCGGGTCTGTGTTTAACACTACGGCTGCCTTTCACGAGCTCGCTTGCGCCCGACACATGTGATGCATTTGTCAACGATGGCGGCGAAACCAGACAGTACAGTAGGCCAAACAACACAACGAAAGACAAGCACTCGAAGCCGAGTGCCCATGGCAATGACATAGACGTTGCAGAAAATGAGCCACGCCTCCGTGGCACCACGGGCTCTGATATCCCCTTCACTAAACCAGAACAGGAATTGATTGTAAGGTCCTGAATATCGTGCGGACCATGTGTTTGAGAAACGTAAAGAACTTCACGCTGATGCGCGTCCGCACCGTACCCGACGAAATGATTGGTAGACTCTCAGAGAAGAAGAACAATCTCAATACTGGCATATAGCAAACGGGTCCTGGACCCCTCGTCTTCCTCCGAGCAAATTCTTTATCCCGATTTCCCGACAGTGCCCAGGCCCCGGGAACTCAAGAACGGTGAACAAGAAACTCAGGACCCGTTTCCCTCAGGACCCCGTTTGCTTCATCATGGGACCGAGAAATTACATACGCAGAAATTGTTGGAGGTCTGCGCGGATTTCTTGGATCGGGCCTGGACGCTGGACCCCCTCCCAGCGCGCGGAGCGCGCCAGCGGCGGCGCCAGAGGCGCCGCCAGGGGACTCCCGGCGCCGATCCAAGAAATTCGCGCGGAGCTCCGAAAGCTGATGCCAATGCGCTTCTTCTTCGACCCATAGCGAGGGGAGGTGCCCAGGAAGGCGCTGCCGCCCTCCGGCCGATGCCGGCGCTTCTCAACCCTCCAGGCGGTCGCCGCCCGCGGCGGCGAGCCGCAACATCAAGGACCGCAGCTCGCTGGCGCAGCCTCGCCGGCTCGGGACGGGCAGCAGCGGCCCTCGACCGCCCCTCGCGCCGAGGGTTCGAGGCTTCTTCTGCTTCTTCGGGGTGGGGGCAGTCACGGGTCGAGGAGGATGTGGAGGAGCTGGCAGCCACCCAGAGACGTCGCCAACTGCGAACACGTCAACAACACTCAGGAAAAAACGTGCCGTGCTGTCAGCAGCGGCAAGATGCTCGACTATTTCTGGTCAGTCAACGGGAACAGACAGCGGTTGCTTTTAGATGGGCGACGTCTGCCAGCGGCCATGCACGTCCTGCCATTCATCACAGCATAAGCGCCAACATGGCATGAGCATGAGGAATTGGTGCGTTTGTTGTACTACTGCGGGCGTGCTGACACCTCCAGGGGCCTCGGGAGATCACCCCCTGTCGAAAACTTTAGGGCGCTCTTTCGATCCCCTCCTCTTCCATCTTCGATCCTCGATTCCCACAGCGGTCCTCTCCTCCGCTTCTTCCTTCTCGATCCCCTTTCTAGATCTACTCATCGATCCTCGATCCTCACCTCCAATCGCGGAGGAGGATAGAATATCAAATATTTGGGGCGTTCTGGCTATGCTGTGGGCCTCTAGAAGCGTCCCTGGGGCCCCTGATGGGGGCCTCTGCGAGCCTGCGGGTGCTCCAAAGGTTCAGGATCAGGGGCGGCACTGACACTCACCACGTCGACCTAGTTCGTCTCCCCCTTTTCGGCCTCCGCACTATGATCTTCCCCGCCGTGGGGGGGTCCCAGAAGGCGGGGGGGCCTGGGTCAGAACACTGACCCCCCTGGGGTCCTGGGGGGTCCCAGGGGGGGAGGAGTTGCCAGTGGGGATCCTGGGGGAGGTCCTGCGTACATGGTCGGCGGCACCTGCCGTGAAGCCATCCCAATGTCATCACTCGGTCGCGGTTCTCGAGCCTCCCGAATCAGCGCTGACCTGGGTCTGCCGAGGATCGGCCCAACGTGGCTTCTGAACCCGGGCCAGCAGCTAGAGGGCATCGGAGGGGGTTTGACTGACCCCCGTCAGGGCTGACCACCGTTCCCCTCGCCCTTCCCCGAAGGGCCTCTCCACCCCTCGATCCTCGTACCTCCTTCCTAGAGGCCTCCTAGATGGGGTCCGAGTAGATGGGGTCGGAGGATCGCGCCGAATCGCCGATACATCGGCGATGCATCACCGACGTCGGCAATGATGCATCGGCGCCGTCGGTGTGCATAACATCGGGCTCCGCATCGCGCCGCATCGCCGATGCATCAGCGATGCGGCGTGATCCTCCGACCCCATCTGCTCGGACCCACTCTGGGAGAGCTAGACTCGGAGGTGATCGACTGACGCCCGCCAGGGCTGACCACCGCTGCCCTCGCCCGCCCCCCGAGGCGCCTCTCAGCTGCGGCCTGCGCCGCCCAAGCTCCCGCGCCAGCGAGCCGAGGCGGCGGGAGGCGCTGCCGGCCAGCTGCGAGAAGTCGAGGGCCCTGCCCGCGGGCGCCCGACGACTTCGGCGGCGGCGGCGGCGACTAGGGCGAGGACGAGGACCAGGACGCGGATGAGGACGAGGACGAGGACGGCGACGTCGGCGGCGTTGGAGGCGGCGGCCAGCGGCGGCAAAGGGGCCAATGGGGGATCGACGCCTGGACCGTGCGCGTCCGTGCTGATCTCCCGACCCAACGATGGGCCAGAGCGGCGGCAAGGTTGTAAGAATCCTGCCCGAGGCCAGGCTCTTTTAAGGCCAAGGTCTGCCCCCGTTGCGTCCAGAGTTGGAGGCAACGTAGGAGCATGGATAACGCGACGAACGCCGGCGACAGGCGTCTTCGAGGATCGAAGTTCGAGAATGTTGGACGTTGTTGGTGCCCTGTGGGCCTCTGGAGACCTCTTGGTGCTGGGGCGCAACGCCGATTTGTCCGTTCAAGTCCTATAAAGGGCCGCCCATCCCTGCCGCCCGAAGGGCGCCCAACCAATCTAAAGCTGATTAGAAGACGACCGGAACAATACCACATCGGCCACAAATTCCTCAACATCTCTGGGACCCAATGGGTCTGGAAGATGTATCGGGCGCCGCGACCGTTCCAGAGCTCTCCGCGACGCTTCAAGAGCGTTCCCGAACTCTCCCGAGGGATGCATCTGCCTCCAAGGCCTGCCCGAGCTGATGCCCGAGGCTGCTGATGGCCGGCCTGTCAGCGCGAAAGGCTTAGCGGGGGCCCTGCCGGTGAGGGGGGGGACGCGGCGCGCCTCGCCTCTCTGCGGGGCGACAGCGACCTCCTCCTCCTCCTCCTCTCTCTCCTCCTCAGACGCCCGCAGGCAGCATCGCAACATGAACTTGACTTCTCTCTTGGGGCCCAACTCATAGCTGACCGGTGTACGAGGTCTTCGTCGCCCTCCCAACTTCTCCGCCGTCCGGGTTGGGCTCCCTTTCCACCTCCTCTCTCCTTCCCTCTTGGCCAGTCCCGCCAGCTTCGTTGCTCACTCTTGCCCTGCCTGCGGGCCAGGGACCATTCCCACGTAAGTCCGGCCTTGGCCGGCAGGCTGCACTTACCAGACCAATAGTTTGTCTGACACACGTTGTCTGGATCCCACACCAGACCCAATGTCGACATGCTCAGTTCGACAGCTTCCCATTTCAATCTCCTCTGCACTTTATATGTAGTTCTCCGCGCGGGCTCATGGCTAGCAGCTTGCATTCTGCATCCAGGTTCTCCACACAGAGTTGACACCAGAGGATATAGTGAACACGCATGGCCGCGAGGAGTGCTGGTTTGGGGGAAAAATCCCTCCTCCTCCTCCCCGCCTCCTCGTCCTCGTCCTCTTCCTCGCGCACACTGCTCTATGACAGTGGGCAACTCACCTATCAAGCCTTACTCGAACGTGTCTGCTGGTGGCGGCTCGCACCGTACTGCACCCGAAACAACTCGCGCACCAAAGACCTACGGGCCACACGATCCTTGGCGAACTGCATCGAACGCAACTGATCCCGCGTGCGCACCACGGGCTGAGGAAATACATACGCAGTAGCGGAATCATCATATCAACGACATGTCTATGCTGTTTGCTGTCTCCCGGGGGGGAGGCGCTGCCACTGGAGCGCTTGCTCAGGCAGTGGGACCACAGCGGCTCGATGCCTGCCCTGACCGTCGCGAAGGCACTCCGCCCCGTGCCATACTATTTCGGCACTCTTACCCGAAAGCTCCTTCTCTTCCTCCTCGTCCTCCTCGCCGTCCTCCTCGTTTTCGTCCTGTGCCGCTCTCGTCCTCCTCGTCCTCCTCCAGCTCGCCCCCCTCCTCTCCACGCCGCACTCTCAACGCTCCGCCCCACGCTCGGCGAATCTCCCCCCTCTATCTGGCACAGGGGGTAGGGATGTGTGTGGGGGGGCATATGTGGCTCTGTCGGTTTGCAAGCTTGCGCCATCTCTGGCTTTTCCCATCTCAATGTGCTGCGAGCCCACTCAGCCCACACGCCACGCGGCAATTGCCAGCGCTGCTATAAAACTAACGGCCAATGGCCTGTAACGTTCGATGATGTTTCCACCCCCAACGTACTCCTCCTCCTCCTCCTCCTCCTCGTCCTCCTTCTCCCCCTCCGCCTTCCTTTCCGTCTCCTTATGGTCCCCGTTCCCCCCCGCCCTCCGTCTCCTCCGTTTTCCTTTGCTGACTCCTCCAACTCTGGCACCTGCTCCTGCTCCTGATGCCGATACTCCTCACGTTCCTCCTCCATCTCTTCCTCGTGCTCATGCTTCTTTGCATCATTGCTTTTCATCTCGTGGTCGTCTGCCTCATCCTCTTCCTCCAGCTCGGCTTCTTACTAAATCAACTGTCGCACCCCTCATCCTTTCAATGTATCGCGGCGATTGTCCTCACCCAGATACCTGATTGATCGACAGTCGGCCCACCGCTTTGACTTTCCTGGCGTCGATCTGTAATCCCAAAGGGACGTCTTCCTCCTCCGTCCAGGACCGCGCACCCGCAGACTCGCTGCGACTTGCACGAACGATATGGTATCATAAATGGTTGTACCATGACGACGTCCAGGGTGCAGTTAAGCCTCTGAGAGCAACCAGGCACCGAAACCACCTAAATCCGCCACCATGCCTCTGGCACGAAGGGAAGTGCCCCAAGGCCCATGCGACACTGAGAGGTGGACGCTGTGCCGCTGCTGCTGCAGCGAGAATTATACGTTTGCAAAAACCCGGACCATATGTTTCACAAGCCTTTCCGGGCTGGCACCCGTGAGTTCTGAATTGTTACCTGCGCCTGCTGTGGACGCTGTGTCCCCCCAAAGCAACCTCCGGAACCCTTTTATGAGTCCAAAAGGCCCCGACTCGCCGAACGATCGCTCCAAGACGCCGAAGATAGCCTGAAGATGGCCCAAGAGGCTTCCAAGACGCCACAAGAGGCCTTCAAGAGGCCTCCCATGAGGGCCCCAAGAAGCAAACATCATTGATTTCTCTAAGGTGTGTGGAAGCCTTTTCCGCATTCCGACGCTCCAAGACGGCTCAAGAGGCCCTCAAGACCACCCAAGACCCAAGACGACCCAAGGGGCCTCCAAGATCGCCCCAAGACGGCCCAAGAAGCGTCCCTAGACGGCCCCAAAAGAGGCCCAAGAGAGGGAACACGAACCGACAATCCGAGCTTTCCGCCCCAAGAGGCCCCCAGGAGGCCCCAAGGGGCGCCAAAGAGGCCCCCAAGAAGCCCCCAAGAGGCATCCAAGAGTCCAAAAAGAGACCCCAAAATGGCCCCCAAGAGGCCATTAGATAGTGGGGATAGGGTGAGCGAGCACGCTAATACACGTACAACTCAATGCGTCCAAGATCGTTCAACCCTGGGCTGACCAACGTGGCACAGAAAGCTTGGCACTCGCACTACTAGATTTGCCATGCAGGAGTGTCGATGCCACGCCTGGCAGACATTCCATATTGCTCCCCCCAGTCCTCTCGTCTGTCACAAGAGGTAGAAACACAGGTCCGCTTGGGGCAAGCTCTAAGCGTATGACCTGACTCCCACTGCAATAGGTATGCATCGAAGAAGAGAGGCAAAAACTCAATACCATACGTAATCATTACACCCTGAACTTGACATGATATGTTCTCTTCTTTCCCTCGGTCTTCAGTCTGCACGCGCCAGTTTCATAGTTCCTCTCCCCTGCAGAGGCATGTGCAAACTACGTTCACAAACATGTTTTGAACATGGTGCGCATTTGGGTAGGCACGCATGTTTGCTATTTATTCCTGGAATCGCGGTCTTGTCAGAAATGGGCGTGGGCGTTTATGCGATGCGAACATGCGGCCTGTTTCAAAGCGCGCGGTGGCGCTGCACGGGGTCGCCGGGGCGCCGCGGAGAAATGACACGGTGAAACAAGGGACGGGGAAGCGACAGGCAGAGGGCGGACAGGGGACAGACGCAGCAGGTGAACAAGCGGATAAACTATGTATGTGAAATCGTTAGACTGACTGCGACGTAGCGGGGCTCAGTCACTCATTGTGACATGTACACTAATTTGATCCTGTCCCTCAAACCTATGGTCGCAAGTTGCAAGAACTCTGTCATCGTTTGTGGCGCTTCGGGTACGTACTGCGTTGTGTAAGATCGCACATCGTCCCAACACATTGTTTTGGGATGACCAACTAGTAGATGTGTCTGCACATGAACATCGTATCGTGCTCCGCTTCCCGCTGTAAAACCGGTCGCGCCCATTCTTTTATAGTGGTGGTGGCGACTGTTAACTGTGGCGATGACACTTGCTAATGTGCAATGACACTTGCTGGCGACCCAATTGTGCGATGACACTTGCCAATGTGGAGGCATCACTTTCCGTCCAACTTTCGCTGTGAGCAACTTCCCTATAAACAAGAGCCGTATCTTATGCACATCGCATCCTCCCAACAACAAAACCACACATTCGCAAACACCGTCGGAGTGCATGCCTGCCCGCGAGCGCGATCACTCTTGATCATATCCATGTCTTGGCTGCTTACGATATCAGAATTGGAATGCACGGACACCACTCGCTTCCAACAAAGGAACATGACAGCAGACCGGCTCGTATTCGGTCACGAGTAGCTCTAGTCGGCAGTGCATCTTCTTGTACTCTGCCAACGCCTGGCAATGATGCGCTGCTGGGCTTGCAATTAGGAAAAGAGGGGATGGAGAAGGGATATGAAGAGAGAGAGAGGGGGGCGGGATGGGAAAACAGATGTCAAAAGAACGCGATGGACAGATGGCGGCACGGAGCTCGACAGAACACACCAGAGAAGATATGGGTCTGACTGATGACCAGTGTCAAAAGAAACTCAGCTTACCGCCGAATCAAAGACACGCACATCAAGAAGAAATCCGTTACCCGACCCTCGAACATGGAGTGCGTGCATGCTCGCCTGCGCCGCGTAAGCGGCGGGCTCACGCTACCAGGCGCCAACGTTAGTTCCAACTGCTCGACCTTGAACATGAAATGGTCGCGGCTTTCCGGTAACACAGGCCGTTCGACAGTGGTCGATTCCGGGCCACTGGCGGCGTTCAACCTCGGTCGCCCGCGCTGAGATCGCCGCCGCATCAACGCGGCGCAAAGCTGCTGTTACCACCACTCGCCGCCAGCTCCGCTGCCATACGTGGGCCCAGCCCTGCCGTGAGGGCTGGGCCGCCTGCCAAATCCCTAAGCGAAGGGTTCACAGTTGCCCGCTGCGGCTCTTTCGGGACCGCCGGAGCCCTGCCCTGACGGGCCCACGCTGGCGGCCCCCTTTATCCGCAGCTGTTTCTTGCATCCTCGGAAGCCTTGTTGCTGCGCGAGTCCCCTTCGACAGGGTTTCACTTCGCCCATTCCGCGTCATCCGTTTCGCTTCGCAGGGGGTCCCGGCATCCCGGAGCCCAGAGCTGCGAAAATGTCCCAGGCGAAACGGGCCAGACCACCTCTCACGCGGCATCGCGGAGCCAATCGTGAGGATGCCTCGGGCGAAACGGGCCGGACCACTGCAGTCCTGGCCATCTCGAAGCCCAGAGTTGTGAGGAATGTCTCAGGCGCAACGGGCTCGGACTACGCCAATCCCGGCCAACTCGGAATCTTGCTCTGGCCTCGGCGCTGTCCCTTCGGGCCAGGGGCGCTCGGACCTCCTGCTTGAACACAATTCGACAACAGAAGTGCAGTTAATCAAAAAGGTAAATTGGGCCCTGCCTCATCTGCTTCCTCCCTCCTCCCTCTCGGAACGGAGCCACGAGGTGCGAGGATGTCTCAGGCGACACGGGCAAGGCCACCTCGCGTGCGACATCTCGGAGCTCAGAGCTGCAAGGCTGTCAATCCTGGCCAACTCAGAAACGGGAAAGTGAGGGTGTCTCAGGCGAAACGGACCAGACCACCAGAGTTGCGAGGTTTGTGTTGGGCGAAACTCACAGAACCACCTCTGGCGCGGCATCTCGGAGCCCAGATATGTGAAGATGTCTCAGGAGAAACGGGCTGGGCCACCTTGCGCGCGGCACCTCGGAGCTCGGAATTGCGAGGATGTCTCAAGCTAAACGGGCCAGACCACCCCAATCCTGGCCAACTCGGAAACAAAAGCTGTGGCGATGACTCAGGCGAAACGGGCTGGAACACCTTGCTCGCGGCATCTCGGAGCCCAGAATTGCGAGGATGTCTCAGGCGAAGCGGGCTCGGACTACGCCAATCCTGGCAAACTCGGAATCCTCTGCCTCGGGCCAGGAGCGCAACTTGATAACAGTGTTCTCAGGTCGGAGGCCAGGCCCCGTCTGCTCCTCCCTCCTCTTTCGGAGCCAGATTGCGTGGATGTCTCAATCAAAAGGGCAAAATTCCAGATCACCTCGCGCGAAACATCTCCGAGCCCACAAATGCGAGGATGTCGAAACGGGCCGGACAACCTGGCATGCGGCATCTCGGAGTTCGGAACTGCAAACATGTCTCAAGCGAAACGGGCTGGACCACCTCTCGCGCGGCATCTCGAACCCAGAGTTGCAAAAATGCCTCAGGCGAAACTGGTAGACCAACTCTCGCGCGGCATCTCGGAGCTCAGAATTGCGAGAATGCCTCAGGCGAAACGGGCCAGACCATCCAAATCCCCGCCATCTCGGAACCAAGCAAGGGCGAGGATGTTTCAGGCGAAACGGGCTGGGCCACTCCGCGCGCAGCAATCTGAGAACCCGGAGCTGCAAGGGTGTCTCAGGCCAAACACGCGCCGGACCACCTCTCGCGCGACATCTCGGAGCCCAGAGTTGCGAGGACGTCTCAGGCGAAGCGAGCCAGACAACCTCTCGCGCGGCACCTAGGAGCTCAGAACTTAAAAAATGCCCCAGGCGAAACGGGCTGGACCAACTCTCGAGCGGCATCTCGGAGCGCAGAGTTGCGAGGATGTCTCAGGCGAAAAGTGCCAGACCACCCTTGGCGGGGTATCTGGGAGCTCAGAATTTCGTGGATGTCTCAGGCGAAACGCCCCATCCCATCCTGGCCAACTCGAAACCAAGAGCTGTGAGGATGACTCAGGCGAAACGGCCTGGACCACATTTTTGAGGATGTCGCTGCGGGGCGGTCCCTCAGGCCGAACCAGCTTCCACTACAACGGCACCCTCAGCTGTCCAATTGGTTGGGGGATGCGACGGGTAGCAGAGAAGAGAGGGGCCGTGCCCGTGCGACATGTCGGGCGTTGTGACATCCCCCACCCTCTCGTCCCTCTCTCCGCTTCCCTACCCGTTGTCGTCGTAAATCCAACCCATTCCCTCTCAAATGTTCCCCCCGCCCCCCCCCCGCATGTTTATCCTCGCATTTCCGTGTCGCCCCTGCCGCGTCCCTCTACCCGCTCCTTCCCCAATCCCAGCAGCCCCTTGGGCGTGAGTGGTTTAGAGAATCCCACCAGCCCTTTGGGCGTGAGTGGTTTAGCGAGCTCTCTCTGTTCTCAACCCCCCTTCTTCCCCTTCGGGGAGGGGTTTACCCCTCCCCCTACCCCTCTCCCTGGGCCTGGAGAGGTCCCTCCGCGGGTGGCCGGCGGGGTCTTTTTCGACTCCTGGGAGTGCTAAAAAACGACACCACTCACGAGGATTCTGGCCCCGACGGGGGGGGGAGAAAAATGCTCTCCTCTTCTTTGAAGCCAGAATCCTTGATTTTACTACGGTTTTGGCCCCATTTTGGCCTTCTGAGGGGGCAGCGCTAATTAAAGCTCCCTCTTCTTTCAAGCCAAAATCATTGATTTTACTAAGGTTTTGGCCCCATTTTGGCCTTCTGAGGGGGCGGCGCTAATTAAAGCTCCCCTCTTCTTTGATCGATTTCCTCCAAGATGGCCCCAAGAAGCGCCCAGGAGGCACCAAGAGGCCCCAAGATGGCCCCAAGAGGCCCCCAGGAGGCCCCCAAGAGGATCCCAAACGGCCCAAAGAGGCCCCCCCGAGGCACCCAAGACGCCGAAAAGCCCATCAGGACGACCCTCTACTCGCCTGGGCGTCGTTTCTGGACGGGCAGGAGGAGGGGCCCGAACGACTCACACCAGGACGAGGGGCCCGAACAACTCACACCACGAGAAGCCCGAACGACTCACACCAGGACGAAGAGCCCGAACGACTCACACCACGAAGAGCCCGAACGACTCACACCAGGAAGAAGGGCCCGAACGACTCACACCAGGACGAGAAACCCCAAACGACTCAAACCACGAGGAGCGCTTTCTCTCCCTCCTCCTCCGCCTCGTCCTTCTCCCGCTCCCACCACAAGGAGGATGTACAAGGAGGCGGGAGGAAGGAGGAACAGGGGAGATATGCGGGGGCAGGCGGAAACACGCCTGAAAAACACGACTGTCGGCATGCTTCGCTAGAGTTGCTGTTTTGAGATGGGCTGGTGGGGATACGCGAAGCGTGAAGAATTTCCTTTTCCAAACTCCCTTCTTCCCCTTCTGGGACGGGCTCCCTAACAACAAACACCCCCTCCACCATACGACCAGCTGCCAACCTGGACCCATGCGCACCCCCACACACCATCCCTGTAACAGAAACAATGCAAAATACACTTTACCCCCGAACCCAGAGCATGCGGGGCGCCTCGCGACCACTTTGAATTTGTTTGTCACAGGGACGGCGGGGGGGCTGGCAGTGTTTGCTGCGCGCAGACCAACCATCCCGGTTAAACAACAACTGTGCAACATACGTGTTTCCTTCAAATTCAGAGCATTCACGGGCGCCCCACGATCACATTGAATTGTTTGTCAAAAGTATCCGATCGACTTGGGTGCTCGTATTGAAGAGACAACGCCCCGCGTCCCACCTCCTCTCCTGTCTTCCTCCTCCCCCTTCCTCCCTCCTCCTCCCACCTCCTCCGATCATCATCCCGCCATCCCATCATTATCATCATCATTACCATCATCATCATCAGCAGTAGCATCATCACCACCATCATCATCAGCATCATCATCAGCATCATCATGGTCATCATAATGATCATCATCATCAGTATCATCAGCATCACCAGCCACATCGTTTCATCATCATAGTAACATCATCATCTTCATCATCACCTCTCAATCGCTATCATCGTCATCTTCATCACCACCATCATCATCAACACCATCATCATCAACATTATCATCAACATCGTCGTCATCATCATCACCCGCCGTTATCGCCATGCATGTCGGCACACCCCTCAGACATTTCGTGGCCCCATAAGAAACTCCACCGGATGTCCCAGCGGCGATGTCCACATGCGTCCCCGCCAACCATTCCGGCACGCCTCTCACACGCGTCGCACCCTCGTACGGAAGTTCCACAGGAGGCCCCAGTGGCAAAATCCGCATGGCGCCCACGCGACCCGTTTCGGCACACCCCTCACACGTTTCGTGGCCCCAACCGAAGGCCCCACTGGCAAAAGTCCGCACGTATGCTTCTTTTGTAAGCCTTCTTCTCTAACGTTTGAGGCTACCGGGCGTTGCCCTTCCCGTTGGGCCAAATGAATTCGCTCGTTTCAGGGCCTCGCTGCGCATTCCGCAATGACCAATGATGACGGGCTTGATGGTCGGACCAGCCATGTGACCGCCAGTGCGTTATATAGTAGCGCGGTGCCCGTCGGCGAGCGATGCCGTCGTTCTGGTCGTTCTGCTCGCCAACTTCCCTGTGTCGAGAATGGCCTTTGGGCTCATCTGAGCCCTCGTCGTCCTGATGCAGGCTGCCCCGCGACCATGTCCTCCTCGGCGGTTCACTCAGGCCTCGCGGGAGTGGGCGCCGCGTGCCGCTTGAGCGGGCGCGCGAGCGCCTGCGCGAATGACTCCGCCGATGATGGCATGGCGGATTGCTCTCAGCTCGGGGCGGTCGCGACCCCAAGCATTGCGGTTCGATGGGCGGTCGCGTAGTACAATGGTGAAGCGATAGCCTTAATAATGCCCAGATTCGCATTGGACCCGCTCAGAAAGGTCACCAGCGTCGCGCGGGCTACCCCGCGAAGGGCCATCATCGCAGGTTACCCTGCACGTAGGATTCCTAATCACCTGCGGTCGGAGCGCCACTTGTAGCTCCTCTTCCGCGGTCGGTATCGCGTCGCCCCACGAACTATCCAGCTCGCATCCATCGGAGCGTGCAGGTGCCCCCGCCATCTCGCAGTCCGAGTCGGTGGAGGATTGGCGCTCCTCGATGATCTCCATATGCGCAGGTTGCCCCGCGATCGGGGTGCCCAGCCCTTCTGCGAGATCGATCTCGTCGCGGCCAGTGAAGATTTCCTCGTGGAGCCTCTCGGCGCACCTCTCGAGGGACACGCTGGCGGCCCCGCTGGCGCTCTCATGCACCTCGCAGACGCGAGATGGACCTCGGCAATGGGGTCATCCCCTGATGCGGCAACAAGGGTTTCGAAATCGATGTGCTGGATGTAAGAATCGGTTCGAGCCGAGTGCATCGACGGACCCCGGCCTCCCCCGTCGCCTCGGGGCCTTCGCGACGAATGTGCTGGGTTCCAAGGCAGATACCGCATTTCATGGTTTTCCCGTTGGCATCCTTCGGGTTACCCCGACGTCCCTTACCTCATCCTGAGGCACGCCTACGGCCTCTACCTTTCCCCCGGAAGATTTCCTCATACTGTGGTCCCGTAAGGGAAGCCAAGAGTGTTAGCATGCCACTGCAATGCGACCGTCGTCGTTTACCTTTTGCTTCTACATGTAACCTTTGACCCGAGCGCGCGTCGGGCCGCGCGTCGTGCCCGTCGGACTGGATTCTTCAGAAAACGTCTCCATCGGCGCTTCTGTTTCTGATCGCCCAAACGTACCGATCGTGCTCAGTGTTCCTCGGTGAGGTGTACAAGCATAACAGAAAAGTCTGGGTTGTCAATTCCTTCATCTGGCGAAGCGTCGGCGCCGGTGCCCTAGTCAAAGTCGGACTCTGCGGATTGCCCCGCCGAACCCAATAAGCAGTGGCTTGGGCGGGGGCCGCCAGTGCCGACGGTCCCTGACATTGAGCCCGGGAGTCTTGCGACCCCGAGAGCTGGCCACCTTGTTGGCACAATCAAGTGGCGGCTTCGTTTGGTTGTGGATCGTCGTTCCAGATGGTGCTGGCAGGTCGCCCCGCATTAATGTCATTATGACAGACATCAGTGCGGTGGCCGCGGCTAAACGCGCAACCAATGTTACCAGGGGTTCGCGCAGCAATGTGGGCGCAAACCCTCATGCGCTCCAGTAAGGAACCGGATTTTTGCTGAGTATTTGGCATTTGGTGGTTCAGTGGTTGTAGTAGCTGTTGTGCACGCGAAGCACCGACACCCAGGGCCCTGAACAATATGACTGTCAGGATTTTGAAATTTGGGACGTTGAACCCCGCAGCGTCGGCCTCAAAGCGTGCAATCTCGAAACGCGCCACCGTCTGGTCGATCTGTTCTCCCGCATGGACGCGAAAATCAATGAGAGCCGCCTCTGGGTTCAGTTGTCGTTCGTCTTCAAGATTTTCAAATTTCGTGCGAGGGAGAACGCTATATAGGTGGCCCCATCGGTGTGGCGCCCACCAATGTCCACTCCAAAGTTGATTACTGCTGGGGGGAATCTCGTGGCAATGGCCCTTGCGAGACCTCCAAGGCCACGCTGTAGAGCAGCGGCCTGTTGGGAGTCATAGTGCCTGTGGCCACGTTGATCCAGGCATATACCTCGCGAGCGAATGCGCCCAAAGGTGCGTTACCGGCAAAGTCCGAGTAGGGGCCGGTAGTGCGCGTGTCGTCTGTACCGCGCTGCATATGTCCAACGGCACATCCGATGGCGACCCACAGGAAACCAAATATAGCGATGCCAATCCAGTGGCATCGTAGGTCGGTGTCGGTTGTAGGTGGATGCTGTTTGTGGGAAGACGCTGCCGTCAGCTTGCGAGGAAGTGCAGGCGGCACGATACCATAACGCATGTTACCATGCTCGGTATCTTCGAAGAAATTGCCAATCGGCGTTGGTGGGTGGACTTCAGGACTGTAGTAGTGCAGAGATGTAAGGTTCCGGGAAGAGGCCTCTGAGGCCTCTGCGTAAGCAGAGGCTTCAATGCAAATGTCCTTGCGATGGCCATGGTCTCCTCCGCGTGCAACCACTGCGCCCTGATGGTCCACCATATCAACAGTCCACCAGATCGCGCCGTGCATAGCAATAATAAAACCAGAACTGACCACCAACGGCCAGCTCCGCCACCAAGTTTAAAACCAATTGGGTGACCCAGCCAGATACTACGCTTTAGGCGTAATATGCGTCCAATCCTGTTGTATTGTATTAGCGATAATGCAAAAGGTAGGAGATGGCCGCGTGAGCGGCGAGGGAACATCTGAACAAAAGGTGGAACCTTCTCTGTCTCGATGTCAGATATCGGGCCGCCATGCGACCCGGTTAAATTAGCGGCCGGTCGCTTGAGACCAAGCGGCCGCGGACAAACTCTCGATACCTCTCGCCTTCGCCATGCCTCCTTCAGAGTAGATGGCCCCCAAGGCCCCAAATGCCCCAAGAGGCGGCCACGAGGCCTCCACAATGTCCCCAACAGGCTCCCAAAACACACCGAAGCGGCCCCAAGAAGCACCCAAGACGCCCCTGGGAAGCCCAAGAGTCCCGAAAGCGCAAAAAGAATACCGCAAGAAATTCTCAAGAGACATCCGAAGATACTCCGAGAAGCATCCGAAAAGCCTCTGGTCTTTCGGCTGGCCTTCCTTCATTTCAATACATGCTCCTCCACATTCCTGATCACATCAACTCCGCTGGGCATCGTTTATGGATGAGCTGATTGGGTTACGCGAGCCGTCTAGAATATCTCTCCTCCACTTCCAACTGTTTGATCTTTCTCCCGCCTCCTGTCTTGCCTTCCTCATTGCACAGTCCTGCGTTGAAGCTCGAACTCTTCCATACTACCTTCACTTATACAGGGTGCCCCATGCCCAAGGCGGCGGAATTCCCCTCGCCGCTTGCCCTGAAGCGGCGCGTATGCGCGTGGCTAGCCCCACGTGAACGAAATGAGTACGCAGCGAAATGTAGGATGAACACAGAGCAAGCCTTCGATGCAGGATGATACTGGAACATTATCATGGTGGGGGGGGGGGGCGAATGTTCTTACACCATCCCTGGGTGCATGGGTGAAATGATATGTCGTGGCCACAACTTTACTTGTTTGTTGTATGATGTGGTTGTCGTCGTCGCCCCCCCTTGCGACCCACACGCGATTCCCCCGAGACCCATTCCGCGACCCACCCCGCGACCCACCCGCAACGCATCTGCGACCCACCCGCGATCCACTCCACGCCCGTCCCTTTACTCTGATCCGCAACTGCGGGGTGCCCCCTATACGACCGAACGTGTCACATAAAGAAGCAAACGTGTCGTGGAATGCAAGGAACCGAGTTAGAAGGCGAGAGACGAAACACTTCCGATGTTTGATGACAGAGTCAGGTGATTGGGATGGACTGACAATATGGGATTGGTGCGATGCCTGCACGACCAGAGGGCGTGGCATGGTGAGCGCAGCGAGGGGCATGACGCAACTTTGATCTGACAGCAAGAGCCTGTTGCGCCGTCATTAGAGCACTTTCCAATAGAACTGCGATGTCAACCTGCCACGTCAAAGAAGAACATGTACTTATGCCATGCTCTCTGCGCCCATCGGACCATGTCTAAACACTGCTCGCGCGAGAGACCTACGTCTGGCGAAACAACTGTCACACGTCATCCCTCGGCCTCCCACGACACCCTCATGAAACGCAGTCCCTGAAGTACAAGACATTGCTGAAGCACCACGACCACAACACTATTCGGAATTGGTAATTCGTGACACGCTAATGTAAATCGATGATTTGGGGATCATATGGCGCACTTCCAAGTGCACCCAAGACACAATAAGCGTAACCCAAGCATCTGACTAGGATAATCCCGAACATACCCTCCTCCTCCTCCTCCTCCTCCTCATTCTCCCCATCCTATTCCACCGCCTCCTCCTCCTCCCCCCTACTCCCCCTCCTCCTCCTCCTCCTCCTCCTCCTCCTCCTCCTCCTCCTCCTCCTCCTCCTCCTCCCCCCCCTCTTTCCCCCCCCCGCCCTCCCCCAGCCTGCTCTTCCCCCTCTCCTTCTCTCCGCTGCCACTCACGCCTCCGCCTTCTTGTCCCTCCCCTCCCACCTCCCACTCCTGCCCCTCCATCTTCCTTCAAACTCCTCCGAGCTGCGAAACCCCAACCTCCACATGAAACACGACGCGCAAGGCTAAAACACCCAAGGAAGTAAACAAGGTGGTGACGCGGAAGCTGCTGCCCACCATTCGGTTGGAGGACGAATCCCCTTCTCCAGACTTTGTTTCGGGTGCCCTTCGGGCAGGGCCTGCCCCTGCCCCTCACCCTTTTACAATCATTCCTCCCCTCATTTTCCCTCCCCTCCTTCTCGTTCGGCTCCTTGCCCTCCTCCTCCTTCTCCTCCTCCCCAAACCTCGGCGTGACCGCCGCCCTCCGGAAGGCAAATTCCACCAACCCTCTGGGATCAGGTGGTTTAATGTGTCAGCTCATCCAAAAAACGTTCAGGGACCCCCAAGCTAGAGCCTACACGGCTCGCGATGTCAATGGATCCTCGCAGGGTTCCTCCCAGGAGGACATCGATGGCTCCAAAATGGCCCAAGATATCCCCAAGAAGGGCCCAGAAGGGCCCCACACCTACCCCAAAAGCCTCCAAGAGCACCCGAAGAGCACCGCTGACGGCGTTTTCGGGCACCAGAAGGTGGCTCTTTGGGAGCACCACTTGTTTTGACCAGTGGCCTCCATCATGATCCTTAGAGGTCCCCAAGACGGCCTCTAAAGAGGCACCAAGAGAGCCACAAAAAAGGAGTACAAAGAGGCCGCCAAGAAACTCCGAAAAGTCCAAGTTGGCTGGTGTCGGAAACTCCTCGAGCTTACCGTAGCTTCGACGTGACCAGCTTTCCATCTTATCGCTTCACTGCTGAACCTTCGCTACCCTTCTCGCGACAGATCGTCAGCACATCGGTTTTGGATGGTCTGGCGGGGAGACGCAAAGTTGCAAAACATGTACGCTTGGATACACGCACGGCCACGGGTGGGCCCTCAGCTCCAGAGAATTTACAACTGGGATGGGCAGCTGAGAAGGCGCCACCGCACTGCTGCAATGGAAAGGCAATGGCGCACCCTGGGCAACTGGAGATCATTGCAACTGGAGAGAGGACTGAGGGGCGCCATTCGCCCAGAGCAACGGCACTGGTGCGCTGATGCAGCAAGCTGGAAGACGTTGATAGGCGGTGGACGGCTGGAACCTATGAATGCCGATGGCCACTGGCTAACGGTGGTAACGGCATCAACGTTGTTAATAGCAACGCCGTGCGACCTCACACGTACGTGCTTCTCCATATTACAGCATGGTGCTGCCTTCGATCATTGCCCAAAATGCCTTAGGGGATTTTGCCGCACGTTTCTGGACCGGAGACTGCTGACATAATCCATCTATTCCCCCTTGCAAAACTTTGGCGCACACCCCAATTGCCAGCGATTCCCTCCCGTATCCCTTCGCCTGCAGATCCTCGCAAGCTCGCTGTAGGTCCGTCTGGTCCTCGACCTCGTCAACAGAAAAGATGTCTCTCGCAACGAAGAATTACTTGCAAACTTCGAGCAACACTCACTCGACGGCCTAACAATCAACATCGTGTCAATTTGTTGTTGAATCACGCCGTGTAGATGACGTGTACGCCAAGATGGAAGTGTTCACTACAGACCGCGCGCGTAAAGCCTATGCAGGACGATCCTTTGGCCTTCGACTCGCCGAACATGCTTGTAGTGTTTTGGGCTACGTTAACACGAAAAGGCGGTATCAAATTCGCCGGCCCAACGGGCCAGAGGCGTGCTAAGATCTCCGGTAACTGGTTAACAATTCTCTAGTTCGCGCGCGCGGGGCGGCCCCTGGGGGTCCCCGGACGAAAAGTACCCCGGGCGACTCCCGGCTGATCCCCGGGCGACTCCACCAGAGCGCCCCATGAGCGCACCAACAGGGCTCCGAGACGTCCCCGAGAGCCCCAAGAAAGGCCAAGAGGCCCCCAAGAGGCCCCCAAGATGGTACACGAGGGGTCCGACATGCCACAAGATCGCTCCAAGACGCCCAAGATAGCCCCCAGACGCCCCAAGAGGCCTCCAAGAGCACTCCCAAGAGGGCCCCCGGAGGCAAAATTCATTGCTTTTCCTTAGGTTTTTGAGAGATTTTGGAGCTTCCACCTTTTCGGCTTCCCGACGCCCCAAGACGGCCCAAGAGGCCCCCAAGATCGCCCCAAGAGGGCCCAAGAGGCCCCCAAGAGGGCCCCAAGATGGCCCAAGAGGGCTCGAAGACGGCCCAAGAAGCCTCCAAGACGGTCCAAGAGGGCCCCAAGAACGCCCCCAAAGGGGCCCCAGAGAGGGAACACGAAACAACATTTCGAGCCCTCGGCCCTAAGAAGCCCCTACGAGGCCCCAAGAGGCCCCTAAGAGGCCCCAAGAGGCCCCCACGAGGCCCTCAGGAGGCCCCCAAGAGTCCCCCAAGCGGCCCCAGGAGGCCCCCCAAATGCCCCCCCGAGCGCCCCAGGAGTCCCCCAAGCGGCCCCAGGAACCCCCAAAGCGCCGCATTGACACCAGGCCCTCGGGCAAACGGCAGACATGAGACTGTATGGGCCGGCGGAATGAGCGAAGCGATTAAATAACCGCACGATATGGTTGCAAGATGGCCCATAACTGCGTCAGAATGACCCGGATGCCCCCCTGAAGTCCCAATGCTACCCAAGACGGCCTCAACAGCCCCGACAAACTTCCCATGTGCTGTCGAAACGCTCAACAGGAGCCGCTCACAAAGCCTCCTAGAGGTTCAATAGAAACCGAACTTTGATAGAAACATTCGTCGAATTGTTCCCCACATGCTAAACGGGGTTGTATGTTCCCCCACTCCCGTCGCAAACCTCGCAACCCCCCTGTCCGTCCCATGCTCGATGGACCCCGATGGACTCGAAAGGCGTAGCAAGCGCATTTACTCGACACCAGAACGGGTGCGCGAGAAGTGGTCCCCCCATCCGTCTCACGGTCACAAGGCGTGGTAGGCGTGGCATTCCTTCGACACCAGGAGGGGGTGCGCAAACGGTGGTTTTCCGATCCGCCTCACGCTCGCAAAAAGGGACAAACGTCGCTTTTCCTCGACACCACAAAAAAAAGGGTATGGAATTTCCTCAACACCAAAGGGGGTGCGCAAAAGGTGGTCGCCCTCTATCCGTCACGTTCGCAAGGAATGGCAAGCGCACCATGTCTTCGACAGCAAAGGGGGTGCGCCGTTCCCTATCCGCCTCACGCTTGCAGGGCGTGGCGTGCGTGACATCCTCTCGACACCAGAGAGTGTGCGGAAGGAGTTGTTCCCCCATCTGCCTCACGATCGCGAGACGCGGCGAACGCATTATTTCCTTGAGACCAAAGGGCGTGCGCGTCTCACGCGAGCATGGCCTGGCAATGACTTCCTCGGCGCGAGAAGGTGTGCGCAATGACTGGTTCCCCTGTCCGTGTTATGCTCGCAAGGCGTGGCAAACCCAGCATTTCCTCGACACCCGAATGGGTGGTTGCTCTATCCGTGCCACGCTTTCAGGGCATGGCACGACCCTCCAAGGAACTTCGCAAGGGCAGAAAGCACTTCCTCGTGTGCTCCGGAAGCGTGATCGTGATATACCAATACCCCAACACATGATCTAAATTAGTGGACTCCTTCGGTGACGTATTTGTGCCTTGTCACCCGCCATCGCATAACATGTTTTCCAAACGGCGTCGAACGCGGGCCAACACCAACCTGAACCGCAATACATCCAGCCCGAGACGCATCCAAAGGTAGCTCTTCACATGTATGCACGGACGAAACTGCACGCATGCACGCACGTAGCCATTCACTCGCACTTGTAAATCTGCCGCCTTCCACCCGCACGCATACCGACACACGCACACACACATCACACTCACTCTATCATGATCGGAAGTAGGGAATGAAAGGGTGCAACCGAAGTGAAACGTGCGGTACCCCAACCACGAAATCGTTTCGTTTCGTGCGTGACGTGCGCGCGAAGCGAAGCTGCGCGAACCCCTGCCTGTCAGAAGCCGAGTCAACATAAAATGTCACGCTCCCCGGGTTCAGGGGCGGCGGTGACGTCGGCAGTCAGCGAAACACTGCAGAAACCCGTCGCGAATGCACAGTTTATTCTATACAACGAAGTCGCCGCCGGCGCCAATTTCGTCCATTCAAACCATGTGAATGGGTCGCGGGGTGGGTCGCGGACAGGTCGCGGGCGGGTCGCGGGTGGGCCGCGGGTGGGTCGCAGGCCGGATCGCAGGTGGGTCTCAGGCGGGTCGCGAAAACGTCTGGGGGTGGGTCCCGGGCCGGGTCGCGTGTGGGTCACGACTGGGTCGCGCGGGGGTCGCGGGCCCCGGGTCGCGCGGGGGTCGCGGGCCGGGTCGCAGGCGGGTCGCGGGGGGGGGCGACGACAGGAAACAACAAAATACAACAACCAATCAAACAAACAACCATAACAACACAAAAGCAACAACAACAACAACAACAACAATTACTAGCACGTGGGGACACACCGTTCTCACCAGTGCCAGGGTTTTCATAGGAGGCGGGCAATACCCCCACTTTGTGGGGGGGCGGTTCAAGTTCTACCAAATTTCCAAACGACTCTTCGCCACCACCCACACCCAGCTTCCCGCCCTATGACGTTCGGACACTTCACTTCGTGGCATGCGGACGACCGCGGCTACTATTCAGGGCCCCGCGGCCGACGACGACGGCGTGCGCGCGCGAAGACAAAACGAATGTGTCCCGCATGGTATTATTTGACAGGGATGATGGCCCTGGCAGGTGCGCAACCGTTGTTGCAGAAGTTCGAAAAAGTTGCTCGCAAAAGCCCGTTTGACAGAAATGTTTAAAAAGTGTTGGGTTTCCTACGAATCCGCAAGAGCGCGCGGGATGAGATTTTGACAGTTTTTTGTTGAAAAACCATTGGTTTTTTGATGTTTTTATGTTAAAATCGCTGCGAACACTAAGGTTTTGGAAGGATTTCGTCTTGCGCGCGCGAATGTCCACTTTACCTTATTTTTTGCAAGGGATTCTTGAAATTTGATTATATTAGAACAAGAAATGTCATTTTCTATTGTTTTTTGCAAGGGAAAGCGGATTACAACAAAACAACCGGATCCTGTACACACCCTCTTTTCTGAGGCTTCCTCACGAAAATGATGAAAATGTAGCTGCGGCCTAGGCGGCGCAGGGGGGGCGCGCACCAGGGGGCCCAACAATAATTATTCTTTAGAATAAATAATGTTCAACAACAACAACAACAACAACAACAACAACAACAACAACAACAATCATTTAAGACTGGGGACACTCCGTTCTCACCAGTGCCAGGGTTTTCATAGGAGGCGGGCAATACCCCCACTTTGTGGGGGGGCCGGTTCAAGCTCTACCAAGTTTCCAAACGACTCTTCGCCACCACCCACACCCAGCTTCCCGCCCTATGACGTTCGGACACTTCACTTCGTGGCCTGCGGACGACCTTGGCTACTACACTGGCGCGTTACATGACACCCCACCGCGGAAAACGTTAGATGGACGGATTTTTGACATCATCGGAGGCTTCCTGGGGCCGCTTGGGGTCCTCTTGGGGAAGGGGGGAAGCCTCCTGGCGCCGCTTGGGGTCCTCTTGAGGGGCTTTGGGGGGCTTCTTGGAAGCATCTTGGGGCCTCTTGGGGGCTTATTGGGTCCTCACGGCGGGCTCTTGGGGCCTCTTGAAGGCCTCCTGGGGCAACCTATGGCGCAACCAGTAGGGGGACGTTTTATTCTCGGCGGCCGAGGGCGCAACCTATGGCGCAACCAATAGGGGGGCGTTTTATTCTCGGCGGCCGAGGGCGCAACCTATGGCGCAACCGCAAGGGATTATGGCCCCTGGCAGGCGCGCGAACCCCGTTGCAAGAGCGTGCGAAAGTAGCTCGCGCGAGCTCATGTAACATAAATGTTGGAAAACCATTGGTTTTTTTAGGATTCGGACAGCGCGCGCGGGTGGAAATTTTGAAAAGTCGTGCAGGTGTTTTTCGAGGACCTACGGTGCGATTCGTGTGATTTTATGATGCGCGGTGCTAAAATTCTTAAGAAGCCCAATGGTTTTTGGAGATTTCGGCGTGCGCGCGCGAAGAAAAAACGAATGTGTCCCGCATGGTATTATTTGACAGGGATGATGGCCCTGGCAGGTGCGCAACCGTTGTCGCAGAAGTTCGAAAAAGTTGCTCGCAAAAGCCCGTTTGACAGAAATGTTTAAAAAGTGTTGGGTTTCCTACGAATCCGCAAGAGCGCGCGGGATGAGATTTTGACATTTTTTTGTTGAAAAACCATTGGTTTTTTGATGTTTTTATGTTAAAATCGCTCCGAACACTAAGCTTTTGGAAGGATTTCGTCTTGCGCGCGCGAATGTCCACTTTACCTTATTTTTTGCAAGGGATTCTTGAAATTTGATTATATTAGAACAAGAAATGTCATTTTATAGTGTTTTTTGCAAGGGAAAACGGATTACA